CTTCTGCAAGATTGCTCTCATATCTGAAAAATTGCTCTCAAATTTTGCTGATGGTGATCGACTGATCGTAGCTGGTATACTCTGATTTCGGTTTCGATTTTAAAACGTTCGCAGTTTGCAACCATTTATAATCACAATTCTGCATTTAGCTCCACATTGAAATTGTGTGCGGCGGACTGGGCAGCTCTCGGACCAACTGGTTTCGTAGGGCCCCCGTCGCCGTGACATGATTGGAAATCAAATCTAGTTTAATTCACTATACTTGCACCTCACCCATACAGACCCTTTGTCTCCTTGGGGTCATTATATTTTCCAGAGAATACGAAGGCGGATTTTAATTATTTTGAACAGAATATGTCTATTTATGTTTTTCCAAGTAATTCGATGGGCTTCACACTTCTAGGCATTCGGATCATGTCTCATTGTCCGCCCCGAAAACAGATGAGTAGTAACTGTACTTGTTTATCATTAGAACAACTTGCCCTTGAACCAAAAATTGTTCAAGTTTGGCACAAATTTCTGAAGAATATTTCTGACTAGAATATATATGCCCACTTTTCGAAGCGACAGTTTCAGAAATTCGTCGCGTATCTGTTATTGCTCGTTACTTTAGTCAGTTATATAGAAGTTTAACTCTTCTTTTCCAATTTTTGCGTCACTTCTGTTTCTTAAAATCTTCGTTACGCATCTATCGTAGCAATGATCTCCGTGTTAAAATTATATTTAGAACGTGTTTATAAACAGTTCTATGACATATGTGATAATGGCAGAAACCAATATATTGTCCTTTAACTGGGAAGTCTAAATAATGTCTCCCGAAATCCGCTCGTCCATTATGTCTGACAAAGCCAAGCACGTTCTGATGTTTTAAACCATATACACTCCAGAACTTGAATAGGCTACAATTGGTCGTGAATAGGCTTCAAAATACAAGGACTCCATCGTGTCGGAATTATGTCTGACAAAACCTAGCACGTTCTGCTGTTTTAAACCATATACACTCCGGAACTTGAATAGGCTACAATTGGTCGTGAATAGCCTTCAAAATGCAAGGACTCCATCGAGTTGGAACTTGAATAGGCTATAATTTGACGCGAATAGGCTTCAAAATGCAAGGACTTCATCTAAATGCCCTAATATGGAAACTGCGTACAAAACTATACACAACATCCTGTGTTGATGTGTTTTTCTGATGTGTTTTAAAAAAAACCCAGGATGTTTACGGAGTTTAAAAATATTTCGAATACCACATGTCTAGGTCATTGCTATTTCAATATAGCCTGCCGATACACCCATTTAACATTAGGCCTACTAACAAGATCTAGCTTAGCCGATCACATTTTAATTATTTTTGAATTCTACTAGGAATTGGAAATCTTGATCAGTTTTTTAATATATTGCAAATGGGGTATGTCTTTTCATCGCCGATGAACGCCGACGACCACTGATTCCTATTAATTTACCGCCAATTTTTTGCAAATGCGAATCGCACTGTTGTATGAATATGAATAATGTTAATACCTCATAGCCTACAATATCAGAAATCTGTAGTGGAAATTATAAGATTTTATGGATGTATAGTCCACACATGGGGGGGGGGGGGGTGAATGCCAGTGTAGTTTTCTACAGAATTCTATAGAAAATCTATAGAGTTTTGCGTGGGGCCTGTCCCATAGTATTTTATAGAATTTTGGGAGACATTAGGAAATAGCGGGCCCAAATATTCTACAGTTTCTATAGCGCATATATTATAGTTTTTCCTACAGATTTATGGGAAAATGTCTATAGGAAAATACTACAGTATTCTATGGGGTTTTATTGCACTTTCTGTATGAAATTCTACAGTTATGTATAGAAAAGAATACTGTAGTATTCTGTAGTTTAGAAATTGGGTCACTACAGTTTTCTGTAGGAATAGGTACTATAGAAATTCTTAATTCTTATTTTGGGAATGAATATAGTTGGCCCATGATTTCTTCTAAATTGATAGGCTTATATTTTTTCTCTTGTGGATTAATTTGAATTCTGTTGATTCACCAGTCGGAACCATGGCTTGACAAGTTTTCTTCTTGGAATAACTGAAATATAGGGAAAAGTATAGTTAAATAAAGTTACATAAACATTCATTATGCAAGAGCAAAATCTGCTTATTACAAGTCTTTCTTTAGGCCTGAAATGTTATCTAAATTATCAATTAGACATTAATTAACTAATCCAGACCATAATAAACTCTCGATGTCAAGGCTAGCCTTCGAAGTTGGCTGGATTAGATCCTATATGCCGCTAACGGCCGTTGATAATTAAATCAGAAAAAGTGGATAATCGAGACTATGCTGTTTATATTAATGATTTTAGTAATGATGACCGAGACTATGCAAAAATTCACCCGCTTCTTTCTCGGCTCATAGTGGAACAATTTGAAATTTTCAGCAAATTACCTTTACACTATCTAGTTTTTAACTATTATAGAGAGAACTGCCATCGCTTTATCTTGTCTCCCATAATCAGGTGCGGATCTAGGAATTTTGAAAAGGGAGGGGGGCGCCGCAAAATGAGGGCACTGACCGCGAAGACGGGGCACGCCGCTGAGAGGGGATTTTATGGGGGGGGGGGGCAAGAAAATTATCCGTCATTTCCTTGCATCTGTAACCATTCCAAGAGCTATTCGGAAATCGTTGAAAAAGAGCCTTAAAATCGAGAAAAAAAGCCAGTTGAACATGCGGCTCGAAAACTGTCAAGGGCGAGCGAGGCATTATGATGGGAAAAAGACGAATCTATTCCCTAGCCACTTCACTATTTAAGCCTTGTAACTTGTACTTTGTACTGTCCACACATGAAACAATGCTACATCAAGTTGCACTCATGCGCGTCGGTGATGGACATGAGTGTATACGCCGCCGATTCCACAAGATGTCTGTCTATAGTCACTCTATAGGATTAGGGCACCGTCAGCTAAACAACAAGAATTCGTTTGAAAGTGGAAGCATTAATTAGACCAGACTGGTGTGTTTGAATCGATGGTTTGAGTCATTTGGGATCCCTGCAACGGGTTGGGAACGGACATATTTGGGTCTGAGAAAAGGCACTTTCAGCAGTAAAAAAGAGCACTGGCCCCTCGCCCCCCCCCCCCCTGGCACCCGCCTCTGATAATGTATCTTTAAATAACAAAATCTTATAAATCTTATCTAATTTGATATTATTGTTGAGAAAGTAATAAAGTATACTTATCTTTCTGTCTTTAATCAAATCTGTGCACTTAATTTTATAATTCAAAATTCAGCCAATGACCAAACAGTTTTCAAGAGAGTAAATTGGCTGTTAATTATAGTTTGTCGACATATGCATGCATGGTTAATCTGCTGGCATCAACAAATTTGAGTACAGAATCTGCAATAGTCATTATAAAAATCTAACTAGCAGGATCACCCAAAAGTCAGATTGTGATCAAATAAACTTTGTCTTTATTTCATTGACTTATCTTTATAAGAATAATATCATCTGTTATTTTTGCTGTGAAGATCTACATTTACTGGCATTTTTTGAAGGTTTTTGTTTTTGTGACGATGGAACATGTACCCTATATGTATTGAATACTGAAGCGTTTCTTGGTTGAATTTAGAGTTTAGACTACTTTTTTTTTATACATTTCACCGATGTGGTTACTTGTATAGTTGAATTTTACTGTCATATGCTTACATTCGTATTTCGTGTAGCATATAGCAGATCATGACTCATGCTGGCATTACACAATGGGTTCTTTGGGTTGTATTCCTAATTGTTTTCAAATTTGAGTGAAGTCTGTGTCACTACAGACCCGGGACTGTACAGCGCAGTGGACGCTTACGGCTAGCCCCCGGATCCATTCATTTTTTTTTAATTGTCTGTATGTTTGTGTTTTCCTGAGTATGATGTCCTGTCCGTGTATTTGTTTTTGTGTAAATTTTGTGTGGCGCAGTCCCCCTGCACTTACTATTAAAGTGTCAAATCACTATTACAAAGAAATATTATTTTAAGACTTTATTTTTTTCCGTCTAAGCTTATTTTAGTTTATCATTTGGTGTCACAGTAAATTTCGGAAAACTGCATCTAGGAAAATTCTATTGGAAACTCTTACATAATTCACACAAATGCATAACTAGATTCTATAGTAAGCTATAGTATGAATAAAAAACATCGCCAAATTATGAAACCTGTAGTATAGAACATTGTTACTAGCTTATTATGTAGGAAACTATAGTATTTGTTAAAATGGTTTATGTACCATATAAATTCTACAGAAAACTATAGAAGGCTCATCTGTTATATGTTTCTCCACGAAATCTATAGGATAAAACTTTTTTTTTCCATAGTTTTCTACAGAATGTCATAGAAAACTATAATATAGTATTACACAACTGACTTCAGACTATATAAGTTAGTTTTATAGAAAACTATAGTTTTTACCATCAATTCTATAGCAGCGCCAATAAATCTATAGGTTTATTTTTTTTCACAACATTGCAGTTCTTAAAAGTATTCTATAGAATTCTATAAGAAATTACACTTGCAAAAAACTTATCTGCTGGTCCTACACAAACCTATAGTAAATGCTTTTGAATCTATAGTCAAGTGAAAAAAAAACCTACAGAATGAATTCGTTTTCCTGTAGCATTCTACAGAATCCCACAAACTTCTATAGGAACCTATACTTTTTCTATTTCATAAGGGAGAAATCGGCGGTCGCCGGCTGTTTTATATTATATGAAAAATATAGCCATAAATGTTGAAGATTTTATGTTTGCGCAAATGTAATAGTGATCCCTGAATTGTGTTAATAAAGTGTATTTTAGGAACAATCGGCGGTCGACGGCGGTCTTAAATTTAATCATAAAGGTTGAAGTTTTTCAGTTTGTGCAAAAGTACATAGGCCTACAGGCTATATTATTAGTCCCAATTCTGAATTGTGTTTTGTCATTGGCATTTAAAGTAAAGGACACACCGCCGCAATTACTATAATATGCGACCTCTGTGGACGGTGCAGGCGACGTAGCTATTTCGGTACATTGCAATCTATCTTTGATAAATACAACGGTGCGAGAGTGTGATGGCACGGTGTCTTTTAAAGTTTTACCGTGGTTATCGCTTCTCTAAATGAGGTTTTATCGGTTGGTGTGGACTATCAAGTTTCTCGACTGATCTTGGCGGTATTTAAAGATGGCCGAAAACCAAAGTCCCTGAACTAGGCCCATATTAAACGAAGTGTTAATTAAGCGAATGCGGTGCCATTTACAGAGTAATACGTTATTAATCCAGTGGGTAGGTACAAATTGATATATCTGTTTCGTAATTAGCAGGGAAAATATTCAATCCTCGTTCAATCAAGTGTTATTTTCTTGTATAAACTTGTGGATTTCTGTCAATCACAATGAATGACAGAAATCCACAAGTTTAGTTTATAAACAAAAGTGACCAAAAAAGCAAAACGAGATAACTGTCAGTAATACTACAGACATTCATTTAGCAAACCCTTCTTAAAATCCTAATATTAAAGGTAGATATTGATTATTTATTTGTTGTAAATATGTAAATGTCAACGACTCATGATCAACATCAACAAACTTTCCCACATGTGCTGTAGGCTGTAGCCTCCTTTATTTACATGTCAATCTGTAGGGAACACACCAGGGTGCTTGTACTACTAGCTAGTGTGGGTTGAACATCATCATTCTGAAGTTTCAAATACTTCCACCAGAGCATTCATAATTTTCTTAATGATTTTGTCTTCCAAGCCTGGTCAACATGGATGTTGCAAGTCGCCAAGTGCAGCATTGATAATGTTCTAGATGAGTGTTGTGAATTTCAATATTAATTTTAACTTTATTCCCCTACATTTACATGTAGGCCTACATCAGGAAATTGTCACACATTTGCTTTTCTAATCACCATAATTAGAATATAAAGCATTACGCCTGTTTTCCATGTGCGCATTTTTGAATGCGTTTTTGCCAACGAAAATGTCGGTCTAAGTTCCAAGTAACATGGAAAACCGGCTTAGACAACTTGAGACTTGACCACAGAAATCCAACCTTAGTTAAAATCAATACAGGAAAAATACACAGCAAAATAATAACCAGATCAGTGCAAATAATGTTTAAAACTTTTTATACGCCCACATTGAAATATGGTTGTATATTGTTGTTGCCCCCGTCCGTCAGTTCCACATCCAGAAGCTCTAGAGGCGAAAGTTAATATCTGATTGATTTTAAATTTATACACAGTGTTTAAGGTCATAAGAGGAAGAATCCTATGAATTTCAACGATTTCTGATAATTACTGCCAGAGTTATGGCCCTTGATCACTTTGAAAAATCTTGTGGGCGCTCTAGAACCTAAGTTAATATTCGATTGACTTTAAATTTATACACAGTGTTTATGGTCATGAGACGGAGACACCTATATATTTTCAATGATTTCAGATCATTACTGACAGAGTTATGGCCCTTGATTACTTCAAAAAAATCTTGCGAAAGCTCAATCTGATTAAAATACAGATCTATATTTCATTTCGTTTTTTATACTTTCGATAGCCTCAGCTACCGGTACATGAAGATCTGACCAGTTGTAGTGAGAGGTTTCGTCAGGGGTCATACAAGCTGCTTTTGACCTTATGATGTCAGCGTTGATGTTTTACTGGGATACCCACAGATCCGTGCACGGCACGCCAAAAACTCATCGTAACAGACTGTTTCACTGGCTAATCCCTCACATCAACCAGATCCTAGTGTAGTACAGACAAGTAAACCGAAACTTTGAACTATAATGAACAGAAATGAAATGAAATGAAATGGGGTTTAACGTCCTACTGTTCTGCTCCTATACTGGGCTAATGAAGACGGGCATACGCCATACAGTGTGCTATGAGGGAAATTTTGCCCGGGCAGCGGCACTATCGCCTACTCTTATATCGAATTCCAACTGCCAAGGGATCTTTAACGTGCATTCCAATGTAGACAGCTGTCCTTGTCAGGACCTCTGTCCTGCATCACTGACAAGGGGGAACCACGCCGAAGAATCTGGATGAACTTTGCTCTACATGCCAAAGTGATCATTTGGTTGACTTTAAATTGATACACACTCAGTTTAAAGTCTTGAGATGAACAAGTATATCAATTTTCAATGCTTTTTGATAACTTGAACAGCTAAATCCATGGTATTAAATGTTTTGTTTTGCTAAATGTTAGCATGGGACAAACAAATTCTAAGGATTTTCTGACAATCACTTAATGAGTTTAATCTTTGAGTTGTTACTCTTAATCACATTTTAGTGTATTATAAATATATGTGACAACTCTTGTTGACTGCCCGGACGACTTAGCTGCTGTGGGTGTATGTTTCGTTGTTTGGCAACCTATCTTTATTACATGTATTTCACACAAAGTTCTAAATCCAAATGTAAAAGTGAATTTAATTCTTTTAGCTACCGGTACCTGAACTTTTTACAAATCACATTCCCATCACAGATTTCAGAAAAGCTGCCTTATCTTGACCCTCTGAACAGGTCAGTTTTAAAACACTGAAACCAACTGGTTTTGGGCACGCACAGTATGCTTTATGTAATTATATCTACATGTAACCTTTAACGAATGAGATAAAAAGTTAAACAGGGTTTGGCTTTTATTACATGGTTTGCACAACCTTGGATTTTCACAGTATCCTTGAGAATCCTTGATTTTCATATCTTAAAAACCTGGGTGATTTTAAACCTGTTTAAATATGTATCTGAACATCCTAGTACTTTTCTGCTTCAACTGGGCTAATAAAGATATACACCATTCAGTGCGCTATGAGGGACTAGTAGTGCTACACCGTTCAATGTTCTACTGTTATTCTATATGTAGCTTGGTTTTGATTCCCTGGTTGTACGTCACAAGGAGTAAGGTCACCTGTTCATCCTTGTGGGTTTTCTCTGGGTCCTCCGGTTTCCTCCCAATGCTAAAGACCCATACACGCAGGGCTGCCGACAACCAGTATCGCAGCGCAATTTGCGATTCACATTTTGTCCATTGCTAATCAAAAATTGAAATTTAACGTTTTCTGCGAATCATTAATATGCCTGTCATTTTTGATATTGAGACAAAGATTTATCCACATTTCTCAACACTTTCAACGTGTATAAAATATCAAATAAATTTTATAAACAAAACGGAATTCTCCGTGTGACATTTTCTTCTCGAACTACCCAGACTCAATTCATTATACTATATAATACAGGGACCTAACTCTATGAATCGGGTCTATTAAACCGGAAATAGGGAATCAAGTAGTACCACTCACGTTGCGAGACATGTCAATTTCGAGTAATTATATCAGTATTCAATTTGAAAAAAAATAAATTCAGTGTATCCCCCACGTATTGTAAATAAAATATAAAAAATAAATACGTGTAAACGTATTGTAAAATGAGAAATCAAAGTAAGAATTCCCGTAAACTATTATTGTTTATATCGCGTGCGTCTAGTTAATCGAGATTATTCGTAAAATACTGCGTGCTTCCGATTGAACAAAAATAATAACACACGATAAAAAGCAGACGAAAATGTTTTCTAACTAAGAAATAAGAAGCCACTGCCAAGAATTGGCTTCAGACATAAGGCCTAACCAAAAGTCTACATTCATTCAGAAATGTTCACAGCTACCTGTAGAAGTGCTAAAATTCTAAACTAATCTTAAGAATGAAATCTAATCATTTGCTATCAATTAAAATTAAAATAATCTTGTTATTTAGGTGTTTTATGTTGAAACTGAAAAACTGCTAATCAATTTTTAAATTTGCTAATCAAATTTGGCAAAATTGGACTTTTTGATTAGCAGTGCTGCTAATCATCTGTGAAAAATTACCGACAGCCCTGCATACACGCAAGCATATTATTGAAATAAAATTAAACCATGTGTTAGTCTCGAAATGACCTAGTTAAAAACTTCTCTCTCTCTCATGATTTCATTCTAGGTACATGTACATGTAATTGTCGTGGTAATTGTCAGTACTACTGCTGTAGTCGAGCGGTAGTGCCTGCGTCTCTCGAATTGAAAGTCCAGGGTTGCAATGCAATCCTGGCATGTGTTGAGTAGAACCTTCAGGATTAGTCAAGCTTGGTTCTCGTGTGTCAGGACTGGCATGGAAACAAAAATCAGCTCCACATCGGACAAAAACTGGGCTCCACGTGTGTACAAAATGGTTTGCACGTAAAAGAATTCTTGGCAGTTGGAATTCGTTGAAGAGTTAAATATGGAAATACCACTGCCCGGGCAAAATTCTCTTCACATTGCACACATAATGATTGACATGAAAATTATCATTAGTTTCAAAATATGTAACTAGTAATGTGTAGTTGTTTAGTGTATTTTCCCCTTAGTTAGTCCTGCAGGGCAGAGGGTCTGTCAAGAAATGTTTTTTAATCTAAGATTAAAGCGGCTTTTAGATAAAAAGCTGACAGTTCTTGCTATAAATCATGTACATGTAGGTAAAATATAGATAATGAAAAGATAATATGCTGAGCCTATATCTAGCCTCGATTGTCATTGCTACCGTTGTTACGATAATAAACAAAGTCTCGATTGTCCATTATTATGGTAACCACATCAAACACAAAACATACTTTATTCTGCTGATATGGCAGTCATCCAATGACATCGATAGTTGATTATGGTCTTTGTAAATTAATTGATATCTAACTGATAATTTGTATAACATTCCAGGCCTAAAGAAAGACCTGCAATGGGCAAATTTAGGTCTTGCATAATGCCTGTTTAAAGATAACATTAGTTAAGATTTTAATAAAGAGTTGGCCATTCTTGATATAATAGTTCAAAAATAGATGATAAGAAAATATTGAAAATACCAGTCAAATTACTTTATTCTGACTACATGTAGTTTGGACTAGAAATAGGCATCAACTGTCTCAACGCTGTCTCCGAGAATTGCCGACCGTTTGATTGACAGACGATAACCCTGCCTACATATTTTCGATTATCAAGTAACATTCTCAATGCCTACATCGGCGTTCTCCTGGGGTTACGTCAGTGATTAACGGTAAATGTTAGCTTGGTCAGCCATTTAATAATTGAATTATCTGGTTGATGAAGGCTATTAGCCCGAAACATGTACATGTAGTGGACTTAGAATATAATTTTTAAAAACCATCTACACAGTGTTGTGAAGTCTGTTGCTGGGGATTCTCTTTTTTGATATTTTTCACGGATTGGTTCCTGCTCCTCCCCGGATGCATCACTGAGATCCAGACTTGCCTGCACTGTTCT